TAAGCCTGGGGCAGACCCCTTCCCCCTCATCTACCCTATGGGTTTTGTTCCTCTTGAACAAATATCTGAAACACTGTCCTCCCTCGTGTAGTCAGCCATTTGTTTTCACCGTACAAACGGACTCAACTTTAACTTTTATAAAATCAGCACTGGGAATTTTGTGAAAACTTTCTCTGTGCCCAGATCCTTTCAGATGTGGTTTGGGTCTTAAAAATCACCTATAAATAAGTATCAGAGGACAGAGAGATTAAGAAGACAATTTTTGCTTGGGATGATTTGGTTTGGAAAAAGGAACAGTGACAGCCCACTGTAAGATTTCAGCAGTATCTTTATACAGATGACAACTAGCAGACCCAGATATGTCTTTTGTAAATAATGAGCTTTTCAGGACCAACACTCACTGCTCTGAAAAGTGAAAATTAAAACATTCCTTTCGGGGCCCCTGCGTGGGTCAGTCAGTTAAGCATCCAGCTTTGGCTCAGGTCATGATCTTGGGGTTCGTGGGTTCAAGCGCTGTGTCGGGCTCTGTGCTGACAGCTCAAAGCCTGGAACCTGCTTTGGATTCCTCTGGTCTCCCTCTTTCTCTGCCCTTCCCCCACTCACACTCTCTCTCTCAAATGAATAAACATTAAAAAAAAAAAAAATTAAAACCACTCCTTTAAAATAGAAACACACTGGGGGCGGCTGGCTGGTTCACAGGAAGAGCATGCAACCCCTGATCTCAAGGTCCTGCATTCGAGCCCCACATTGGGTGCAGAGATTACTGAAATAAAATTAACTTTATATATAAATAAAATACACTTTAAGAAAAACAAATTAAAAATTAAAAGTAAATAAAATACAAATACAATGAGAAATTACATATAAGGGCTTAACTACAAGGTTTACGTTCATCACGGATTGTAGTCACTATGTGTTTTATTTTTCTTTTCCTTACCTTCTAGTTGCCTATTTACTGTCTTTCATCTTAAAGCTGATTTATCATCATTAATGTTAGTATGTGTCCCATATCATCAATTATTAAAATGTTACCTTAAAAATAAAAATCCTAGGGCGCAGGGCTGGCTCAGTTGGTACAACCTGCTACTCTTGATCTCAAGGTCAGGAATTCAAGCCCCACACTGAGTGTAGAGCCTATTTAGAAAAATAAAAAATAATAAAATAAAAACCCTAATTCTGATTCATTGTTTGATTCTGGGCTTTTTTCCTGCTCTCATTGTTTTTCAACTTTGTGTCTCTGTCCCCCTAAAATGTAAATTCAGCTATGATTTGAATACAATTCGGCACTTTTTGAAGAGAATGTAATGAACAGTTATTTGTTACCTCAGGGCAGTTTGCAGAAAAATAGAGATTATCATATAATAGGCAATTTCTGAACTCTGGCTAAGATCCTTGGGCACCTGGGTGCCTCAGCTGGTTAAGCACCTGACTCTTGGTTTCAGCCAGGTCGTGACCTCACCTGTAGGGAGTTGTAGCCCCGAATCCGGCTCTGCGGGCTCTACAGACTCTGGGCTGGCGGCACGGAGCCTCCCTGGATTCTGTCTCTCCCCTCTCTCTCTGTCCCTCCCTCCTTTGCAATGTCTCTGTCTCCAAATAAAAATAAACTTAATAAAAAAAAAAAAAAACTCTTGGGGAATTTAGCTTAGCCTTAATAAATGATAAATTGTAAAAGGTACATGCCATCTCAGTTGGTCCTCTTGATTGTCATTAGCACTTTAATCTGTCATTATTCCAGGTGAAATGACAAATGGTTTTGTTTTTCTGTCACAGCACATTACTGTATTTCTTTCCTTCCTTCTCTTTTCACAATCTGATTATAAATGTTCTTGGGCAAGATACAAAGAAACAGCTCTACAATGTACACCAGTGGAGTCTGTGCTTAGCTAAAAGCGGCCAGGAGAAAGATGACAGAAAAATAGCCATGGTTTTGTTTGAAATTGTACAGTGAACATGGCAGTAGACTGAAGGATTACCCGGAAGCCACTATCACTGCATAACCTCCATTCTGTCAATACCCAGGGCCTCCTCACTGCAGATAAAACTACAGTGTATTTGGATGCCTAGAAAAAGATTTGGATTAAATGGCAACCACTTGTAACTTTTTTCCAGATCCCTACAAAATTCTTTTCCCTATGAACGTGTTCCTCCGACACAGTAGGAAAGCACACGTTTTAGAAACATTCCTAGTAGTTTGGGGACTGCAGGATCTTCTGTCTGTGGAGAGAGGAGTATTTTCAGAACCTCTCTCCACATGCGGACTTTCAGTCAGAAGGTGTGAAGCCTGTCTGTCACTGCCCACAGGTCTGAGATCCTGGGCTTGTCATTTAGCATCTGCATCTTGTGAAGAAGGGATTGGAAAGCATCGACCTGACAGGGCTACTCAGAGGATGCAGCGGGACAGTGTACGTTATAGTGTTTGATAGCAGCACGTCTCATGGAAAGACAAGGAGATGCAAATGTGAGCCACACCTGTAATTACACTGTTTTCAGGCAGCCATATTTTAACACGTAAAAAGAGGGGCATCTGGGTGACTCGTGGTTGAGCATCTGACGTCGGCTCAGGTCATGATCTCTGGGTTCATGAGTTCGAGCCCCACATCGAGCTCCTCTGCCCCCCACCCCACGCATGGGCGCACTCTTCTCTCTCAAAAATGAACACTTTTTAAAAATCCAAAAACTAAAAAGAAACCAGTGAAATGAATTTTAACAATATTAGCATTTAACTTAATATATTCAAAGTATCATTTCAACAGGTAATCAATACAAAAAATAACTGAAATGGTTTACATTCCTTAAATACTAAACCTTTGATATCCAGCATATATTTTACATTATAGCAGATTTTGATGAAGACTAGCTACATTTCATGGGCTTAATAATCATTATATGACCAGTTGTCACCCAACTGGATAGTACAGGCACAGATGTGAAATGAGTCACACAAACTAGTGGTTCATTTAGCAGGCAAAGCAGGAAGGATCTAACCCATGCTGGTAAAATGGTTGTTTCAGACTCTGGGAACTTCACGATTTTTTCCTAAAGTAGGCATCATCTCCTTTGATATGTTGAATTAAAAGAACAATACTGAAACATGTACAGTAAAAGTCTCCCCACACGATTTCAAACCTAAGCAATATTGTTAGCGACTACAGATTACATGTGGGAAAGTGGGCTTCGTGATACTTCTGGAAAATCACCAATTCTCTTATGGCTCCTTTGGTTTTTAGCTATGATGACCCCTAGATTCTACCTCTCTGGTTTGCTTACTATTTTCATGTGGAAGAGATTTCTTTTCCAGAGTTTTAGGTCTGTTAAAAAACATTATGAACTTTGCTTTATACCCTACATAGTACACACTCCCTGAATATAACTTTTTATATACTTTCGAATATATACTTACCCATTTTGTGTCTTTCCAGTGATCCCTTTTTATAACCTGGCTGCATGAAGAAACTGGAAGTCAGAACGACTCTTTTGACTGGCTGGAGTTTCAAAGGACATCATGCTGGAGCGCCTGGGTAGCTCAGTTGGTTGAGCATCTGCCTCTTGGTTTCAGCTCAGGTCACGGTCTCCTGGGTTTGAGCCCGCATCAGGCTCTGAGCCTGCTTGGGATCTCTCTCTAAATGAACAGACAGACAATGACACCCTGCTCGTACTTGGTACTGGTCATCAGAATTCTCACTTTGGAAATCTAGTCTACTCATAGTTTTCCAATCAATGGACCGTTTCCTTTATGAATTTAGACTTTACGTATTTCTCCCAAAGGTACATGCCTGTGCTTTATACACGGTGGGCTCGGTGAGAGAGACATTGGGGAGACGGGCAGGGGGGCACGTGGGGCACGCAGGTGAAAAAGCGCTTCCCGAAGAAGGCGGTGTGCGTGGCTGGGGATATCCCCTCCCTCTGAGAACGAGACTCCCCTGGCAGGTTAAAGGGGAGCACAGAATCGTATTGCCGTAGATGTGAACAAAAGACAGGACCTGGTGAACCCCTAAGTGTCCCCAAGCAGGCTGTTTTGCAGAGTAACGAGAAAACAAAGCTAGAGGTGCTGCAGTGTTGTGTCCCCGCGCCGGGGCCGGCCCCGGGACGGCGAGGGGCTGCAGGTCCGCGCTCCCGCCGCACGGCGACACGGGTCGCACAGAGCCCGAACCTGGGAGCCCGTCACACCACGGAGTCCGGGGACCAGGGCTGTGCCGACCGGCGAGTCGCGCGCCACCTAGAGGAGAGCTCGTTCTGCCGGTGCTTTCTGTGTACCGGGAGGGCTTCTTCCCCCCGCGCGACGGGCGAAAGGAAGCGGGCATTCCACGCCCAAGGGCATTCCGAGCGGAGGTCGGAAGGCAGCGACCAGGCGGGGACAACGACCTCCGGGCATCCCCGCCCCGATCCGCGCTTCTCCCACCGCGCAGGCGCGGGAAGGGGCGGGGCCGGCGCGGGAAGGGGCGGGGCCGGCGCGGGCGGAGGCGGGAGGCGATTCGCCGGATTGGTCGCGCGTCCGCGGGTCACGTGGCCGTCGCACCGCCGAACGGAGTTCGCCAGCTCTTCAGAGGCCGGCCCCAGACACCCCGGCGGCCGCGGGTCCTGCGCGAGGTGCCTCTGCCTCAGCTTCCCGCGTCCGCCCCGAGGATTTGGCGCCCCCATCCGATAAGTGTGAGGGAGGTGGGTACGCAGAGGGCGCTCCCCGACGGCTGCCGGGCGGCGGCGGGGGTCCGGGTGGCTGCGCCTGGGGCGTTGCGGGGGCCGCGGCGGGGGAGGCAGGGCCGGCGGCGACGGGCTGCCCCATTGGCTGGGTCGGTTTTGGCGCGCTCCGCCGTCCGCGCTCCCTATTGGTTGGCGGGCGCGTCCCGGACGCGTGCGCCACGGCGGGAGCCGCGGGCCAGGCCGCGAGCTGCGGGTCCCCGGCCCGGCCGCGGCGCCCTGGGGCAGTCGGTGCCGTGAGGTGCCGGACCTGCGCGTGCGCGGCTCTCGGGGCGATGCGGAACCGCCACCCCCTGTGCGGCTCGCTGGCCGGGATCCGAGGGGTCCGCAGCCTGGCTCCTGGGGGCCGGTCGCTGGACCCTGCGTTCCCGGCTTGGGGACCCCGGCGTCTCGGGCTCCTTGATCAGCGTTTCCTATGGCGGAGAGGCGAGGGTGCAGGGTGCTGATCACGGTTAGATAAACACGTGAAGGACTGCACTTGGGTCAGTGGCCCTCACCTGTTGTAACCCCGACACCTACTGAAGACCGTTTACGTCGCAGTTTAGGAGCCAAACGAGGACATTAGAAGTTTAAGAAGCAGCCCGTGCACTCTCTTTTCTCGTCTCTTCCGTTCCGTTTTATTTATTTAATTTCTTTTTGAGAGAGAGAGAGAGAGAGACACAGAATCTGAAACAGGCTCCCGACGCGAGGCTCGAACCCACGATCCGCGAGATCCTGACCTGAGCCGAGGCCGGATGCTTAACAGACTGAGCCACCCAGGCGCCCCTCTTCCGTTCTGTTTTAAACAGTGTTCATGACCGAGTAAATGATTTGAGGATCCCGGGCTGCGACCCTCACTCGGAGAGTAAACACTGCTCAGGGTCGTGGGTCCCCACCCGCCTTTCCCTAACCTGCAGTAGGCTAGAAACGGGCTGTGTGAGTGCTGGGGCCCAGGAGGTGTCCTAGTTTGAAATCACTGCACTCAGTAAAGGCAGACACCAGCAAATCAGGGACATCTATTTGGCAGGCATAGACATGTATCAGGGAGATCTGTTTGGCAGGTATAGACACGTCCAGGACCGTCAAAGGTTGGGTTTGGAGTGAGTGCTGGCCCCTTGGTCTCGTTAACCACATCCCATAATCCCTTTCTCTCCCTCTTCCTTCCCTCAGTGTCTCACTCAGTTCATGGTGATGGGTCAGCGTTCCCTACAGATGTAAATACAGAATCTCATTTGATTGGATATTAAATCACTACTAACTGCTGGTTACCAGAGCCAGTTTTATTACTGCCTAAAGCTGCCTTCGAAACCATGAAGTTAGAATGCTATTCTTTTTTTTTAAGTTATTTATTTTAAGAGAGACCCGGAGACAGGGAGTGGGGGAGAGAGAGAATCCCAAGCAGGCTCTATGGGGACAGCACAAAACCTTGAGATCCTGACCTGAGTCTAAACCAAGAGTTGGACACTTAACCCAGTGAGCCACCCAGGGGCCCCTAGAATGCTATTCTTAAGGATAGACCTGAGCGTACCCAAGTATTTGGTGACCATTTTTGCTTCTCTTGGTGACCGTTTCTCAGATCCTTTTGAACCCTGTATTTAATGGAGGACAGAATAGTGTTTTGTAAAACTGTTTAGAATACATACTTTTCCTTTTGTAACAAGATGTTTCGAACCTGAATTATTTGTGTGTGTGTGGGTGTGTGTGTAGTACAGATATTAAGAGTCACTAAAGTTAGTCACTTTGGTCATTGATAGGACTGCGTTTGGGTGCAGGGAGATAAGATAGTTCCGCCATACAGTAGCAGGATTTCTGTATTTCAAGTATTTTCAACAACAACAAAAAAAGCTGACTCCACTTTCAGGTGCAAGCCATTTTCTGTTTATGAATTACCAACTTTTTTTGCTTCACCAGGTGTATCATGAATCCCAGTATGAAGCAGAAACATGAAGACATCAAAGAGAATATAAAGGTACGTGTTAGAATCATTTTTATTTGTTGTAGAAAGCATGTGGTTAGAAGTAGTTTGACGTAATTTAAAAAAATTTTTTTAAGTTTGCTTATCTTGAGAGAGACAGAGAAAGCTTAAGAAGGGGAGGGCAGAGAGAGGGAGAATCCCAAGCAGAGGGTCAGCACAGAGCCCGACATGGGACTCGAACTCAAAGTTCACAAAACCATGAATGGGATCGTGACTGAGCTGAAATCAAGAGTTGGGGGCGCTTAGGGGCGCCTGGGTGGCTTAGTCGGTTAGGCGTCCGACTTTCACTTAGGTCATGATCTCACGGCTCGTGGGTTCGAGCCCCGCGTCGGGCTCTGTGCTGACTGCCAGCTCAGAGCCTGGAGCCTGTTTCAGTCTGTGACTCCCTCTCTCTCTGACCCTCCCCTGCTCATGCTGTCTTTCTCTCTCCTAGAAATAAATAAAAAACATTAAAAAAAAAAAAAGAGTTGGGGGCGCTTAACAGGCACCACCCAGGCACTCCTAGTTGTGACATAATTTAGCAAAATTTAACCTGGCTGTAGTTTCTATAAACTTTGAGGCACCGAACTTTTAGCCAGAGGACAGGTAACAACAGAGGGCCTTTAAAAAAATTAATTACGGTGAACAGTAAGTTTTATGATCCATGAATGTGTGATGTCTTTCCATTTATTTAGGTCATCTTTAAATTTCTTTGAATACTGTTTTGAAATTTTCAGAGTACTGAGTTTCCTACTCCTTTTGTTTAACTTTCTCCGAGGTACTTTATATTTAATGCTGTCGCAGATAGAATTGTTTCTTGAATTAAACTTTCCGTGTGCTCATCAGTACTGTATAGAAAACAGGTGATTTTTATGTTTTGCATTTGAACTTGTGTCCTGCAGCCTTGCTGAAATTGTTGATTAGATCTAACAGTTTTTTAGTAGATTCTTTAGGATTTTCTGTAAATAAGATTGTTGTTGCTTTCTTTCCACTCCTCCATTTTCTGAAATGATTTTTACTAAAATCCTTTGTGTCTCTGACCACAGAGACGCCCCTTGCCTTATATTACACATGTTTGCAGAATGTGTTCATGCTCTTTACCATCTAACCTGCTGGTTATGCTGTATTTCTTGAATCCCCATATAATACTGTCACTGGAAATCTTATCCCAAATATTTATTTTTCTAATTATAGGAAGAGACTTTAATTTTGAACTTGTGATTTTAACTGACTTTGCTTCGAAGCTTCTAGCTGAATTTACAACTTAACTAGGTTTTGCCACACAACTTAGCTGCAGAGGGTTTCTGAGAATGACCACATCTTCAGGAAATCTATCAGATTGCAGAATCAAGTTAAATAGAGTAAATGAAAGCCTTTCATAAGTGATAGCAGATGCTTTCCGATAGGTGGTTTACCTTGCCTTAGTCAGTATCCTTATATTATTTTCTTAAATAATACTGTGCATTGATAATTGGTGTAACATTGTCAAATACTCCAAAATAGTCAGCAGTATAAAGGTCTCCGTTAACAGTTATCAGTATACGGCCAGTTTGTTTCATCTACATCTTCATTCACGCCTCCTTAAGTCACCTAAGTATTTTGAGGCAAATCCCAGATTTCAGCAGATCCTTCTATTTAAAGAAGAATCTGTTTACTGGCTAGAGTAAAACTATCTGGTATATAAAGGGACTAGAGTTCTGGTTGGTTCTGATTCAGCCTCCAAAACTGTGACCTTGGGCGAATTATTTAGCATCTCAGCCTTGGTTTACATCTCTGTAAAACAAAAAAATTGGACCAAAATTAGATCTGTGAGGGGCGCTTGGGTGGCTCAGTTGGTTGAGCGTCCGAATTCAGTTCAGGTCGTGCTCACAGTTTACTTGGGTTCGAGCCCTACTTTGGGCTCTGTGCTGACCGCTCAGAGCCTGGAGCCTGCTTTGGATTCTCCCCCTCTCTCTGCCCCTCACCTGCTCCCGCTCTATCCCTCTCTGTCTCCTAAAAAAATTAAGACGTTAAAAAAATTTTTTTTTAAATCTAGATCTGTAAGAGTGAATTATGGTTGCTCATGGATTCCCTACCAATTAATTGTATGCGAAATTCCATGTGAGTAGTGCTCTTGTGCTTTTTTTTTTTGAGAGAGAGAAAGGTTCACAGAATCTCGAATTGTTTTATAAAAAGATTATGGGCTGTTAATGTCTAAGAACATTTTGGCTCTAAAGAGTCTGTCACTTCAGTGTATAATCTGTGTAAAGAAAATGACAATAGCAATGTTACATCTTTGGGGCAGGATGCTTACACGTATGAAAATTAATCTTGACAATGGTCTTTTTTGTTCTGGCCGTGAGTTATCTGGCTTCTTTGGCCATCATAAGTAGCAAGCATTTAAATCAATTAACACCTCCCATTTGTAAGGATCCAAAGTTAGGTTTTCTTCTATTTGTCTGCAGGCTGGTGACTAATCTATAATCTAAACTACATCTGCAGGGTTGGTGTAATGTTTGTTCTCAGAGTAGTTGGCATTTGTTCTTAGGAGATAATGATCAGCGGCAGGAACCTTACCGTGGGAAAGCGAGCTCCCTCCGCGAACTGCAGCGGGGGGTCCGGGAGTCCGAGCCTTTCTCACGCTGCTTTGGTGTCAGGTTCTTGCTGCCCTTGTTTGAGTGTTCACCATTGTTTGCTATCCCGTGGTGGCAGCATAACTAATGATTTTTTGTAAAAACAGGGCTTTCAGATCAGGAAACCTACAGAAAGCTATTTACATATTTTAAGGAAGGGCTTATTTTCTCCAAAACTGCAGTCTGGGCACTTTCCAGTACCTCGCGGGCCATTTGTCTCCTAACGAATAGGCTTGAGCAAAACTGCTTCTGCATTCGGGTCCTCTTACAGGTGTATTTGGTTTTGTGTAAAGTATGTTCTTGAAAATTATATTCCTGGGGCACCTGGATGGATGGCTCAGTCAGCTGAGCCTCTGACTTTGGCTCAGGTCGTGATCTCACACGGTCCTTGAGTTTGAGCCCCGCTCTCAGTGCAGAGCTAGCTTCCGACCCTCTGTCTCCCTCTGTCTCTCTGCCCCTTCCCCACTCACACTCTTTCACACAAATAAACATTTTAAAAAGGAAAATTATATCCCTTTGGTAAATACATACAAGTGTGTTAGGGAACATTCACTATTTAACAGAAGTCTGAGATGAATCCTTTTGATTAGGGGAAGAAGTTATTTTGCATAGTAAATAATTAACCTTTTTCCCCAATTTACCTCTTCCGTGGGTTTCTACCATAAATGCTGAGATGTTTGGTACATTTCTAGTTTCTGTGTGGCAGATCTTTTTAAGAGGGAATACAGATACTCCTGTTTTACTAGAATTCATTACATATGGTTTGAAGTATTAGAGCTTAGAAATTTTGTTGTATTTTCGTTTTAACTAGATACAATTAGTTGAGAAATGACTGTAATAGCATATATTGAAATGGAAGGAGGAAAGCTGCTCGTGTCCAGGTTGGGTAATATGAGCCATTCTTCGGATTTCTTCAAACTTTGTTATAATTTTAGGGAGATAACAGGTTTGCTAGTTGAATAAGCCAATGGGTTGTTCATATGCAGCATTATAAAATTATAGCAGAACAGGGGTGCCTGGGTGTCTCAGTTGGTTAAGTGTTTGACTTCAGCTCAGGTCATGATCTCACCGTTGGGGAGTTCAAACCCTGCATTGGGCTCTGTGCTGACAGCCCAGAGCCTGGAGCTGCTTCAGGTCCTGTGTCTCTGCCCCTCCACCCTGTCACACTTCTCTCTCTCTCTCTCTCTCTCTCTCCCTCTCAAAAATAAACATTTTAAAAAGGGCACTAAAATAAAATTATATAGCAGAACAAATACTAGTGTTCTTCATGTTTCTTTTTTCCTAAATTATAGCAGGAATAAAAGAACAACAACCCATATAGCAACTCAGTAACCAGATAATAAATTATGTTGATTTCTAGAATAGTCCTGTCCCAAGAAGGACTCTGAAGATGATTCAGCCTTCTGCAGCTGGAGCTCTCGTTGGAAGAGAAAATGAGGTATGTGCTACCAGGCTGCAATGGGGTACCGTTGATCCTGCCTCAGTCACTGAAACCTGGAAGTAACTCCAGACTAACAGTTGCATGTTTCTCACACCGGTGGTTGGCGTGTGGGTAGTTCAGGTTCGGAAGTTCAGCATTGGTATGAATACCTGTGCTAGGACTGGGACGATATAGTAAGTTCTGAACAGCCTATAGCAGTAATGTTTGATGTTTGGGAATAAAATGTTAGACTCAGGATAAAATCACTGGTGAGGGCTCTTAGACTTGCAAGTTTGAAATTACTGTCTTTCTGTAGTACTTCATGATTAAACAGTAAACATGATTTCAGCTAAGCCTTTAGACCCAAGCCTAATCTAGTTACTGCAAATAAAATTTCTAAAATAACTATACATTTTCATAGTTTTAAAATGTGTGGTTATTTAAAAGATCCAAAGATACCAAAAGGACAGGTGAGTGCCCTATTTTTAATACGTATGGACTGCCCACACCACCCAACTTTCATTCATTAAGTCAAAATAAATGAGATTGATGTATGTATTTTCATGATAGTTGGTTAAAGGCTTGTCCAAAAGGAAACATTGGAACGACCAGTCAGCATCCAAGAAGGCCAGCTGCGGAGGGGTCACTGCCCCAGAACACAGCGAAAGTAAAGATGTTAGTGGAGTTACTCAAGAAGCATTCGATTTCATGATTGCAGGTATGTAGTATGGATGACTTTTATCTTAAGTTTCCTAATAAAGGTAAATATTTGTCATGCAGTTATGAATTCTGCACATAGCCTCTTAATCTGGGGACATAGATATTTTCCTCAAATGTGGTAATTTAAAATTTCTTATGGTTGTAAATATACATACACTGTAAGTTGGGCAGGCCTTACTGTTTGTTAAGATCTAAATAAGGATGAAATAGTAAAGAAAAGGATAGTAATTAATTAAGGGTTATAAAACCTGGAGATCAGTTTTTCATTAGAAGAGTATCTAGCAAATGGATTTGAAGAAGAGGATTCAAGTGCGGCAGAAAATGCGGGAGGCGGGCGCGTGTCCTAGTTGTTACTGGGATGGCGGCGGAGACAAAGCAAAGCCAGGGATGCTTCATCAACCTTGTGGAAGAGTTTGTGGAGTAGAAAAAAAATTAATGTTTTTTTACAGCATCACATAACAGGAATTGTCTTCAAGGTCTATATGTAAAATATTGATTTATTTTAGAAAATCCATCCTCGCAATATTGGAAAGAAGTGGCAGAAAAACGGAGGAAGGCTCTCCATGAAGCACTTCAGGAAAATGAGAAAGTATGTGCCGAATGTAATCTGTGGCAGTTCTTAACATTTGAGGACTGTTTTCTTTTTAGTGCTTAACATGTTTGGTTAGAGTGATATAAATTAGCTTTAATGCTGGCTTAAGAAAAGTTTAATTAGAAAGGAGCTAGGCATCAGAATTGTGATAGGAAAGAAGCTTACTGTGGCCAGAGCCGAAGGTAGCTGTGCTGTTAGGAAGCTTCGTGCTGCATGTGTCTATCAGATACGTACCTGGAGGCGTATTGGTTGGGTGTGGAGCATGGCAAATGTATGAAATACTGAACTCTGCTTATGTCATACAGCTTCATAAAGAGATTGAAGAGAAGGACAATGAGATTGCCCGCCTGAAAAAGGAAAATAAAGAATTGGCGGAAGTAGCAGAACATGTACAGTATATGGCAGAGGTGATAGAGGTAGGTATTTCGACATTCACCTGACGCAGAATCCTCTGTTTTGACGGGAGGAGGTAGTGTAATCAGTAAGGGTTTGGGCTCTGGAATCCAGTTTCCTGGGTTTGAGTCTCCCCTCCCTGCCTCACACCATAAAGTTTGTTAAGTTTGGCAAGTTCTATATCTTGTCAGGCCTTTGTTTTCCTCATTTGTAAAATGGATGATAGTGCACGCTTTGTATGCTTGATATGAGGATAAGGAGTTACAACAATGAAAGTTTCGGAAGTCCTTGCACTTGAGAAGAGCCCAGTGATTGTAGGGATTATCGTGAAGCAACAGAACAGCTACTTTCTTGTAGAAATACAAAAAGACATTTACAAGTGAAAAATTTATGGAAAAAATTTTACAGTTCAGATTTTTAGACTGGCTTTAATTTAACTTTAATACCAGTGTGACATTCAGTCATTTATAAAACTGTTAATCGGTGCACTATGTAAGTTTGGTAGTCTTATCTGACTTTTCAATTTGGAAGAATCTAATGTGTTTATAAGAATTAGCCTGCAGGGCGCCTGGCTGGTTCAGTCAGTAGAGTGAGTATGTGACTTGATCTCAGGGTCATGAGTTTGAGCCCTAGGTTGGGTGTAGAGGTTACTTTAAAAAAATTAGCTTGATAATTGTTATTTTACAGTCTTGAACTGAAAAATAGGTCTTGGGTGCCAGGGTGGCTCAGTCAGTTAAGCATCCAACTTTGGCTCAGGTCATGATCTTGTGGTTTGTGGGTTCGAACCCTGCATCGGGCTCTGTGCTGACAGCTCAGAGCCTGGAGCCTGCTTCAGATTCTGTGTTTCCCTCTCTCTCTGCCCCTCCCCTGCTCATGCATGTGTGTGCTCTCTCTTTCTCGCTCTCAAAAACATTTAAAAAAATAGGTCTTAAACTTACTCCTTTTTACAAAAAAAAAAAAAACCCATTGTGCTGGTAGGAAGAAAGTTTTTCAAATAAAAGCTTGTCTTTTACCAAATTGCTTACATTTTAAAGCCATGACAGAATTAATGTTTGAAGTTTCATTTGGAAGTACTGTAATAGCTCACTTTTTTTTTTTGGTAAGAGCTCTCTTAACTGCCATGAAAGTATTGGTTCACAGCAGACTGGAATTAGAAAACCTGGTCCTTCACTATAGTTAGCTTGAGAAGTAGTGATTTGAATTACACTGTGAAAGCATGTCAGTGCTTTAAAAAAAAAAAAAAAATGAGTGAATTAGGGGGCACCTGGCTTAAGTCAGTTAAGCATCTGACTCTTGATTTCAGCTCTGGTCATGATCTCCCAGTTCTTGAGTCCGAGCCTGTTGTTGGGCTTTGCACTGACAGTGTAGAACCTGCCAGGGATTCTCTCTCCCTGCTCACTCACACTTTGTCTCTGTCTCAAAATAAATAAACTTGAAAAAAATGAGCAAATTATTAAGCACTATGGCTTTATGAAATATGGTTTATCATGGTGGAAATTTTGATATAACATTTGATTGTAGGTGAATTTTTTTTTTTTTTAATGTTTTATTTATTTCTAGGAGAGAGAGAGCGTGAGCAGGGGAAGGTCAGAGAGAGAGGGAGTCACAGACTGAAACAGGCTCCAGGCTCTGAGCTGGCAGTCAGCACAGAGCCCGACGCGGGGCTCGAACCCACGAACCGCGAGATCATGACCTAAGCGAAAGTCGGACGCTCAACCGACTAAGCCACCCAGGCGCCCCCGATTGTAGGTGAATTTAATGGAGAAGCATTATGAAAAGGACCTCATTAGAACATTGAGGGTCAATTAGATCAGCATACTGCTAGTGGACTTGGACTTTAAGCATTTGCAATAAATTGTTCATTTATTCTTTTGAAAGAGACTGCATGATGGACCTCTGGATAACTTGGAATCACCAAATAGTCAAGAATTTGATTCTGAAGAGGAAACAGGAGAGGACTCTTCAGCGGAAGACTCAGAAATTGGTACACATGCTGAAGAAGTTCCACCTTCCTCTACAGACGCAAAGCCACATGTATGAGATTCATTAATTCCTGACTCTTGAGAAATACACTGCCAAAGTTTACCTCCACTATAGTTCTTTGTAGCAGAGCAGACAAGTGTATAATGCAAAGTGGGAATCAAACTTTCTTGTTTGAATCCTGGGACCCTGTTGTATTAAAATACAAATACTATGTATTTTAAATCTGCAATGTTTTATGTAAATAGCATTTTCCCAGTT